AACATTTTGTGGTGATTTTTCTGCAGGAGTCTCTTTGTGTAATTATGTATATCTGCTTGTTTCTTTTAAAATGTGTCTACAATGATTTGGTGTAAACCCACTAATGCTAAGAGATGAATAATGAAGGAAAAATTAGGGATGTTAAACAATTAACTGGTAAGCCTGAGGCTTATCGGTATGCTCATTGGTTAACCATCCCTTGCCAGTGAGCTCTGGTGGCAGCCAGCTGTGCCAGGCTGCAGCAACCTGAGTCACAAAGGGTGGGTCAGGTAGTGAGCCTGACATCAGGCCCTAAGTTAAAATGGTTAACCGGTTAAGCACTATCATTTAACTGGTTAACCATTTTAGCATCCTTAGGAAAAATCAGGCAAATATCTGAACCAGCTTATGCAAGCTTTCTGTGTTCAGAGCTCCCACTGAAATCTGTGGGATTTCCACGCCTGGAAGTCTAGGATCACATTCTCTAACTGCATTGAGTTTTTATCTTATGTGGCAGTATTACCAGTTGCTCCCTTGTGCCTCTAGAAGCATGAAATTGTTATATGTGCCTCCTTCAGAGGATACACTTGAGAAGAAGGATTGTCCAGCAGTCAGGGTATTGGCCTGGGATGTAAGAGACTCTGATTCAGTTCCCTGCTCTGCCAAGGGCTGACTTCGTGACCTTGGGCAAATCACTTAGACTTTCTGTGCCTCACTTCCCTATCTATAAATGGGAGGATGATAATACTTCCCTGCTTTGCAGAGGTATTATGAGGTTGACAACAATATTTCAGATCATGCGGTGATCAGATATTCTGAGAATGGATGACCTGGAAGGTACCATAGCTAGATAGAGATGTTTAATCAAGGCATCACTCCTCATTGTCCGGTTTTGCTGGAAGGAGGACAAGGAGACACTGGATGTGGTTTATGTAGACTACAACTTTATTCATAAATGGCAGGGAGTCCCCAGTGGATAAAAGTGCTCAGTGCAGATAAGCCCATAATTATTTACATATACCTGAGGGGAGCTGCTGTCAACATTCCACAGCCAACCTACTGCTGGGACCTCACCACCCCCAAACTTAAATGAGGATTAAGGGGGCAATGTATAAATTTAGCTACAACCCTATTCACCTACCTTCCCTGCCAAACCCTATTTTGCAACAAGTCTGATCAAATAATTTTTATTCCTGGGCAAAATTCCAGGAGCTGCCCCATGTCCTGCTCAGCTTTGATCATTATGTCCACCCTGTAACAGGTTCGATCACGGAGGTCCCCTTAGGGCTGTCACCTGGAATGCTGACCATGCCTCTCATCCCGCCTACCTGCCCTTTGGGGCTCCCCACCACTCTGTCCTCTTGGGCCAGAAGTTCTGGTCTCCCCCAGCCAAGGCACAGATTTGGGGTAACAGCTCCTCAGTAGAGCAACACAGACACTGAAACAACTCAGCTCTGGGAGGGCTCAGTTATAGGGCCATGATAGCATGCAGGAGTACTGCTGCCACAAGGAACCAAACCTCCATATAAATCCATTTTGCTCTGTATAATAAAGTTTTACACCGAGGAAGCTCATAAGACTTGCTCTCTGTATCAGTGAAAGAGAGAGTTGCACAGTGGTTGCTTCCTCCTCCCCCCAACCCTGCTAACTAACAGTTATTTATACTGGGCTTGATAATAAACAAAAGGGTTTTTCTTAAGTAGAAAAAAGTCAGATTTAACCGATTGCATGTGAAAACAGAGAGATGAAAGTGAGTTAGTAAGCCAAAATAAACAAAACACGCTAGTTAAACCAGATACACTAAGAAATATGTTACATGCAAATTCTTACCCTAACAGTAGTTCTAATAATCTTTTTCACAAGCTAGGCAGCCTCCTAGCTTGGGCTGATCCTTCCCTCCATTCAGTCTTAAATATTTCCAGCAGGTATCTTGTGTGGTAAGACCGGGATCTTCTGGCATCTGGCAATTCCTTCTATTGTTTGGTTTCCCACCTTTATATCTCCTTTGCCCAAGCCATTAATTCTTTGGGTTCAGTTCAAACTTTTCTCCCTTGAGTGGGAAAGAAGATCCAAAATGGTTTCCCACATCAGGTTTTGCAGGACCAACCACAATTTTGGCTTACAGGAAAAACAAAGCCATTCACAGATGGCTGGTTTGAGTACTGAGTTTTATGTTTCTGGAGTATCACTAATGGCCCTCATTAGCACGTTTAGAATTACAAACAAATTGGCACTTCATATTTCTAACTTCACATACAAGAAGTTAGACATATTCACATAGAATATGCATATTAGCAAATTGTAACTTAAATGATATGTCTTACAGTGCATTTTGCCTAAAGCTTCAAGTTGCGCATATTCATAAGCCAATTTTCATAAAGCCCGGGGGACTGTGTCACATCCCTTTACATGTTCCCAGATTATTTTCTCCAAGGTGAACCACACCCTTTTTATTAGTCTTTTCCCAAAAGACAACTGCAACCAAAGGGTGGGGGGAGAAGGGGAATCCAGAAATGTTTTATTCTGGACTACCTCTTTTTGTATCCGGACAGAGAAGCATTGCTTGGCTCACCAAGTGCCTTGGTAAAACACCCCAAAACCCGTGGCTCCCGAAGCATTCAATTAAATCAGCTTGAATATCCATTCCTCCCTTCACAAAGACACACCATTAAAAGGAAACTGTTTCAGTATCCCCAAATCTGCCTTCATCTCTCTAGTAACTTCTATAAAATGGTGAGGTTTGGCTTTGCCTGTGGTAACCCTTGCAAACCAGGCACAAAATGTCTGTCCCAGGGCAACCACCTGCCTGGCAAAGTAAAGATCTTAAATCATAGAATCGTAGGGCTGGAAGAGACCTCAAGAGGTCAAGTCCAGCCCCCTGCCCAAAGCAGGGCCAACCCTAACTAAGATGCCTACTAATAGATTGTAACTCATGCAGTGTAACTTATCTGGTGGCTCTGCCTCTGTATATCAAGCCCCAAATAGCTCTTGAAGTTCATCTTGAAGGAGTCATTGTATATCTCAAGACACGCCGCGGTCCCGCCGCCTGCGTTCTCCGTGGCGAGAAAAGCCACTCCGCGTCTCCCTGGTCTGCTGGGGGGAAGCACCCCCCACGCCACAAGAGGCGGCAACAGTGGGGGAGGCACCCCGCACTAGCTGCGCCCCGGCGGTGGCATTTCCATTCAGGTGGCGCTGAGGGAGCCCGGCGTGCCCGGTGCATTGTGGGACTGGGCTGGGAGTCCCATTCGCGGGAGGAGGCGGAGGGAGGGCGAGGAGCGAGCCGGTAAGAGGGAGACCTGGGGGGGGCGGGGGGGGGGGAGAGGAGGGGGGGGGATCCGCTTCCGCTGTTAAACACCCGGCCCCGCGGCCCC